ATAGGTTGTATAAAAAGAATTCCAGGTTCTTTTCCTTCAATAGAAGGGTGAAAAACAGTCTAGGTTCTCTTCCTTCACTACGAGGGTGAAAACAAGTAAGGTCCTCTTCCACACCGAGTTGTCTGAAGAGATTTTGGAAGGGCTTCTCCGCCTTTCTATTGGAAAAAAAGGAGAGAGACTAGTTTTAATGAAATACCTTGAAAGGAGGTTTCTAGGGAGTGGAAGTAGGTAAGGTTGGACTAAACCACTATAAATTCTTGTATATTTATTCTTTTTATTTTCTACTCTTTAATTTTTTATGATTAGTCGTGTGGTTAAAAACTTTAATACTTTTGTTATTGTTAAATAAATTTGTTTCTGCATCAAGGGGTTAAATTTTATATTTTTTAGATATTGAAAAATCTATAAAAATATTTTCTTTTAGTTAATTAAAATTTAAAATTACCAATTCACACCTTCTTGGTTAGCCTCGGGCATGTTATTTAAGGTCTCACAACCTCCTCAAACTATCATTTTATTCATAATGAAAATAAACACTTCAAAAATTTTCTTTCTTATTAAAATAAACATTAATTCTGATCATATTCTCTACTTAATATATTCTTTGCTTTGTTTATGAACTAGAGATATTTTGACTGAGTGTAATTAATTTACCAGATATGATTCTTAAATGGTTTTTTTTCTTTCCAAATTCCATGAAAGACAATTTATTATTAATGTTGATGGCTAACTTTAGCAATTGTATGTGTACAACATATATATATATATACATATACATAATAAAAAATAAACATCTAGGTGACAATTAATTTTCTAATAATATCATTTGATAATAAATTTTGCCTTCATTAAATTTAGAGAACACATGCTTAATTTGGTTTTGATAATTCTTAAATCCTTATCTTGTAAGATATTTTCTATTGTAAATTTGGACCCAAGTCTTATGATTTAGATCAAAATAAAAATAATTGGATTTCTCACTATGCTAATTGAATTTATTGCATATCTATTTTTTCCATGCTCACGAACATTATAGGTCCATTGTTCACTTAAAACCTCAATCAGCTCAGCATTTGGTAGATTAGGATTAAAGTATGTATTTTTAGTCTTTCTATACTTTTTATCTTTCTTAAGTCAATTATATATTTTTTTTGGATTCTAAAGTTAAGGAACCTTACCCATATACAAACTCAAGGGGGCGAGTTAGTGAGTTAGGAAAAAGTTGAGTTTTCTAAACTCTTGTACAATACAATTTATATCATACAAGATGATTAGTTAACAAAAAAAAATACTTAAATAGGTCACCTATTATAATTAATAATGATTAAATTAATCATATTGTATGACTCCTATAGTAAAGTATAATCCATTATAATCATCAAAAAAGCTGTCAATCATAATTTAAGTAATATTTTATAATACAAAAATTGTGTCTAATCATACTATATGATATGTATCATATTGTATGTTAGATGATAGTCGTACCTAAACTGATCTTGTGATAAGGGGAGTAATTATGATAAATTTTTTCAATCAGATCATACAAGATGATTGGTGATGATCATATTATACTACCTGATTCTTACATGGGATGGTACTTTATCATCTCCTATTGTCCAAGACAAAATGTCATAGTTTTTTAACTAATCGTATAGGATGACCCCTAATTTCATACAATATGAATGGAGCTCTACATAGGACAAAAATATATCATCGCATTTTATACTGAATGATCAGTATGACCTCTTGAACTAATCATTAAAAAATAAGGTAATTTGTACAATATAAAAAGGTTATTTTGTATTAATTCTACTAGACGATGCTCTTAATTATCCTAGATGATCCATTCATCTCTTTAAGATGATTGTGTAAGGACTATCTTTTCATAAAGTACTAATAAGAGTACTTTGAACTAATTATACATGATGATCTTGGATCTTACTAGATGATTAGAGTAAATAGATTAAATATTTGGCCTTTCTAAGAGGTTTTTTTCTTAAAATCTAACTTGGTCTTATTTCCAAAAAGAATTTTGTTTCTAAGTGCCTTGATAGAGAGCATAGAGCACGAGTTAAGGAGTTCTTTGGGAGAGAATACAGGGAGAGTTGTTAGTTAGAGAGAGTTGTGAGGGATTCAATAGGTTACTTCAAGCAAGGTTCTTCCCAATCTTCTTCAAGCTTTTGCCATGATCCTTTGGTGGCTTTGGGAAGAATTAGGCAATTAGCTTGTTAAAACTTTATGTAAATTTTTTATGTAAATTTATAATTATCTTTTGAGTCCCTCAATTGTTGGTGTGTTTTGAATAAAGCTATGAATAATTTAATTAGGCATTTAGCTTATGATTTCATCATTGTTGATTTATGAAATTGTACTATTTTTTATTCTATTGAATTTTGGATTTTTGTATTACTTATTTTATTTTAGATATATTCTGATGTAGTACCCTTATTGTCTTTAGCTAATAGCTGAAAGTGGAATCAATTCATTATTGTAATGTATAGCTATTTCTTAATGTTATTTCATGTGAATAAGATCTTTTTTTTTTACATAATAAGTTTTAGTGATTCTGATACTGATTTTCCCTTCACAAAAGGGGAACCTATGAGAGGATGGTCTTGTATTTTATAACATAAATTGACAAATGGATCTTATCTATATGTTTAGTTGATATAGAAAATAAATAATGATAGATTATTATATATTGAAATGATCAATTCTTAGGTATTAATTTTTTGTTATCGAGTAATGTATAATTTGGAGAAAATGATTAGTTTATTGAGATACTTTCATTTCTTAATTTTGCATGATCATTATTACATGCCAATTGTGGAACTATTGAATAATCTATCGACTCTTTTCTCTGTTAATTGTGTAAGCGCATACTTATATTATCATAAAGGAAGAAATATTATAATAATTTCTTTTCAATAAGGCCTCTATCAAGAGTAAATGTTTATTACATTATTTTGTGCAATAGGCTAGTTTCTTTTGTCGATATTTTCCAAGTCTATCTTGGATGTTCCCTTTGATGTTCGATTCAAGTAAAATTGTAATTCCCTAGAAAATAGTATTTGAAAATTTAATTAGCTCTGGACCTCCTCCCTTTGTCTTATAATGCACTATATTATGTCTTTCCTTTTGATTATAAGAATTTGGACTTAGCTATTATTTTTAGTGCAAATTCACTACTTTTTAAGTTTTCATTTTATTCAGCTAACTATGATTGAGTACATAATATGCATCTTCTATTCAATATGTTATTTTGCCACTTACAAAAAGCAAAAGATCATTTCCTGATTAATGAGCTTTCCATTTAAAATAGTAAGACGAATATTTTTTATCCACTCTTTTGATAAAAGTTAAGAAATTTTAAGAAATCTTTAAATATATATTCTATTTTATGAAATATTTTGCTTTCATTTTTTTAAGCTAATAAAATATTATACTTACCCACATAGTGTCTACAAACAAGAAAAAGAAAATATTTCAAAAAAAAATGTCAGGATTTAATGTGGAATATTTTGAAATTCGAAAAAAACTCGAGCCACACAACACCAAGAAATTTTGAATGAAAATTGGGAGAATTTGTACATATCTCTTTCTTTCACATTCTCTCATTATCTCTCCTTATTTTTACATCATTCTCTACTCATAATAAATAAAGAGAAATAAGAAATAAACTAGCTAAGGGGCACAATACTTCATGTTAATTAAGAGAAACAAGAAATAAACTGTCCAGCCGCACTTGTAACATTGAGTTGATAGGTTTGGAGTTCCATAAGACTCTAGTATATGTCTCTTGTCTGATTAACCAAGTAATTATATAAAAAACTAGAGTGTTGTGATGCTGCTCTCTATTTCTATCTCCAACACGACTATATAACAACATAGTGTTGTATGGGTAAGGAAAAAAATTTGGCACATAACACTAGAACACAAGCACATAGAGAACCCGTGTAACACCCCCATTGAGCTCAACCAACATAATTGAGGTCCCATACAATAACACAACTTGATTTATCAACACAATCAGATTCTATACATAACTAAAAATTTGTTATATTTGTGAGTTATATTTTTCTATTTTCTAATAGAAATTACCCATTTTGTAAAATACTTAATTATAATACATAAAATCCTCTAATTAACTAATCATTATCTTCTTTTTCTATACTAAGTTCTCAATCGAAATACTTTCTTTTTTTTTTTCTTTAAAAAATAACAACTTATGTCATGTGAAAGATGCATGTATATTCTAACTTTTCAACACTCATCATTAGTTGTTATATTTATACTTGATCAAACATAGGTCAAAATCCAATGGCCGACAACATTTAATTAAATTTTTTTGATAGGAATGCAATTAATTTATAACTTTATCACAAACTAAAACTTTAAAAAAAAAAATCATCAAGTTGTTAATATAAGAACAAGCCCTAGCAATTGACATTTGCTTCCTTCTTTATAGGCCAAAACACTCATTTGACATCTTCTTCTACCAGCTAATCTTCCATTAAAATAATGACTTATATTATAAACTAAATTCCTAATAATCCCATTATGCGCAATAATACATACCCAATAAAACCCCACCTCCACTTGGTTTACTCCTTTAAGCTATCCTAATAAGAGCTTCAAAGTTCTATAATCATGGCTACATATTCTTCTCTACTTTTCTATTATATTCTTCTCAATTTGTTCTTCATTTTTCTTCTAACAGAAAAGAATTTTTTAGTATCAACGCAAAAGCTTGCCGGAGAACACCATGTCATCGACGTCAAGTCACTATTACCGAGCAACTACTGCTCCGTGCCATATAAAAGTTTGTGAGCAGTTTCAATAATTTCTTAATAATCTATTAAATACTTGTTTTTTATAAAATAATTAGAATAATAAGAAATCAAGCAAAAACTAAGCACATTTTATAGATATCACAAGCTTAAATGTGATGCAATAGAAAAAAAAAAACTCAATGCATACATTAATTAGTTGTTCCAACTATGACAGGCACGGGCCATTCCAAGCTCAACGTGGTCTACTTGCATGGTCTGTGCTCATCATGGATGCGCCAGGACAAACTATCACATGTGGAGCTCTTCCGTCAGGACCAAGCCCGCGTAGACTACATCCACCATCGGGCATCCAACGCCACCACCAAGCTAAACCCTATTGGAAAATCTCTTTTTGCAAGAGTTCCAGCAATCATCGATTATGATATTAATCGGTATGCCTTTATCGTCAATATAGGCCTAGGTAATCCTACAAAGTTCTTCTCACTTATTGTCGACACTGGATCCGATCTCAGTTGGACCCAATGTGTACCCTGCGTTAATTGTTATGACCAAAAAAACCCATTTTATGACCAAACCCAATCCTCCAACTTCACCACCATCCCATGCAACTCTAATTATTGTACACAACTTGAATATTTTGGATGCTCCTCTACCCTTACTTGCCTCTTCGAAGAAAGATATATGGACAATTCTATAGTTAACGGCTCCCTCATTACAGACACCTTACACATATCCAATGATATTATTTACAACTTTGTCTTTGGATGTGGACATGATAACACTGGATTTTTTACACATGAGGATGGGCTATTAGGTCTTGGTCGAGGGCCTCATTCAATTATTAGCCAAGCACCTCAAGCGTATAACAAAATATTCTCATATTGTCTACCATCAGGGCCAGATGAAATTGGATATCTCGAACTAGGTAACTCAGCCCTTGGTGTGAAGTATACACCAATGCTAACTGACCCAGATTTTCCATATCTTTACTTCGTCAATCTCACTGCCATTTTAATTGGGGGTGAAAAGATCTCCCTTCCACCTACTATATTCAGCGGACCTAGAACTATGTTGGACTCCGGCACAGCATTTAGCCACATTCCACCCACTGCCTACTATGCCCTCCGCAGTATTTTTCGAAAAGAAATGAGCAATTATCCGATGGCACCACCGTTGTACAATCTTGACACATGTTATGACTTCACTAACTACTCACAAGTGGTGGTGCCAGAGATTTCGTTGATCTATGATGGCGAAGTGACAACAAACTTAGCTTTTACAGGGATAATTTTTGTGTTCACTAAATCTCAAGGGTGCTTAGCCTTCGCTGAAAATGAAGATGATAATGAATTTATAATCATTGGTAATATGCAGCACCGCACGTTCAATGTAGTCTATGATGTGGGGAACTTACAAATTGGCTTTGGGGCTAATGGATGTAGCTAGTGACGGATAGATCAAGTTGATAAGGTTAAATGAAATGTATTGATGTTGCTAAAATTAATAGGTTCCTTCATGTTGGTTGTGAAATTGGGGTGTGCTGGACAATAAATGTAGTCTTGAAAAAAAGTTCAATTGTATCCAAATTTTATGAAAAAATTAAATATCAAATGAAAGAAACTTTTTATGAGTTGATGAAGAGAATTAGTATGTGCTTAATATCTTTATAATTAAGGGAACATGATGACATTGTTTTTTAGAGGTTATAATTTTGATTATCAGATGTAAAATGTCATCTTTCTTTGCAGAAAAAGCTTGTAGTTAAGAAGAATGAACTGCTTGTTGTGATGTCTTTTTTTTAGTGTCAGGCCCTTACAAATTCAAATCATCACATTTTTTTCTAAACTTGATCCTTTTGGTTCTAATTTTGGCTTCAATTTTCTTTTTTGTTATGTTCTATAAATTGAAGCATTTATGGCTTGTGAGTTTTGCCAAGACATTGGGCCATACAGCCTAACACAATAAAGCTTAGAAGCAACCAATCCCTTATTCCTTAAATATGGGGACATTTGAATAAATTAGGCAAAATCACATACCGACTTGTTATGGAACCATAGAACACAAAAACTCTGGTTGAAACTAAAGATCTTAACAAATATTTAATTAAGATTTGTGTAATGATCAATTATGTTATTTACAATTTTATAATTTTTAAGAATATTTTTTTAAGTATTATGCCCTCGTAAAAAAAAAATTCTACCTACACCACTACATACATGCATCATGTATGTGTATGTTCATAAAAAATTATTATAAAATCATGAAACCTATGTTCATCCATATAAAGAATAAGTTCTAATCACTAGCTCATGCTTCAGAAAGTGGGGCAAAAGGCATTGACATTGAAACCCTTTCCAAAGTGTCTTTAAGAAATTTTGGACTTTATTTGATTAGTGATATAATTTGATATGTTACAAAAACTTTAAGCTTATATAGTATAAAAAAATGGGTGAATTAAGGGGGAGTGAGTACACTAAGATTCACTTTAATTACTTTTTTAAGTTTTTATATATCTTATAAATAAAATTATATAAATAGTATTTTTGTATAAAAAATTAATTTATGAACCCTCTAAAATTTTAGGATTTAAAATTGCAAATATGTATTGAAGAAATATTGATAATTTTTTAAAATATTTAATTTGTGTTTCTGATTAAAAAAGTTACTACTCCACCACTATCAAAGAGAAACTTTATATCACCAATAAGCTCTCTATGACATTCTCTTAGAGCACTAGTATTATACCGTAGCACTGATTTTGTTCTTCAACACTATCTTGCTAGGTCGCTAGTCTGGGATGAGAAAAGTGGAGGGTTGCATTAAGTAGTCAAAAATAAGCATAAATCATGTCGAATAATCATGACACAAATCATTTACATGGAAAAAAAGGATTCATCTAAACAACCCCACATAGTGGGACAAAGGCTTGATGTTGTTGTTGTTATTGTTGTACTGATTTTGTTCTTGGATGGACATTTTCTCATCAAAGACTACTAGGACTAGGATCGTGTCATTAAGATCTTCTCTTAGTACATAAATGTTGAACTGAACAATTAATCGATGTACGTTTCTTTTATGTTGACAGAAGGTGCTACTGCTTTGTGGGCACAATTTTTGCAAATGAGACACAAAGAAGGGAAATAAAGGATTTGAAGTTGGTATAAGATGAAATAGCTTTTGAGGGCTCATTTCCTTCCCACTAGTTTTGAGAAAATAATTTACCTGAAATATCAGTATTTGTTCAAGGGGCTCATTCTGTAAATGATTATATTTAAAGAATTTTATAGGATGAGTGCATGAAACAATCTCAATGATTCCCATATTCCAATCATTGCATGATATGTTGGCGGCCTAAATGACATCTTATATAAAAAATTAGAGTTTTTCATAGTTTGTTCATTATCTTAGGTTGTTAATTTTGCATTGTAAGCTAAAATGCAACTTAGTCAGCATTCAAATTTTCACTCAATTCATCACCAGTTTATAAACTAGCTCTTGAAGGAATAAGTCCAATAACCACTAACTAAAATTATTGTAGCTCTATTAGAACTAAATAACCCAACAATTTGAGCTGAAATTCATATGGATAATATGCATAACCCAAAACTTAGAGTATATACCCATTAATTGATATGTTATTTGATTCTTCATGACATGTCAAATATGTATATTTTTGTTTATATGCCTTAATTTTAAGCTTTGAAGGTGTATATTGCCCAACGTTACAACTCAATGTATTGCTTCTTAAAGCTAGATAATCATGAAAGTTTGTTAGAGATGTTAGACCCTTATGAACTGTCCCAAGGCAAAACAAGAAGGGTGTGAATTGGTATTTTAATAAAATTTTTAAATCAAAACTCAAACCTCAAACCAATAATCATCACAAGAAAACACAATGCAAAAATTAAATACGGAAATAATAAAGGAAAGAACACACAAAATTTATAGTGGTTCAGTCAAACCTTGACCTACGTCCACTCCTAGGAGGCATCCTATAACTATTGCACTAAACTCAATGTCTCTCCTTTAGCCCCCGAAGCTAGGCAGAGAAGCCCTTACAAAATCACTTCCACCTTCCCTGATGCCACGGAGTAGCCGGATCCATTGACACCAAAGAGAAGTTCTTCTTCCCAAAACTTCCCTCAAGACAAGCCTTGAATTCGAAGTTACTCTGGTGCAAGCTTTTCTGAGCAACCGTGTGGAATCCACTCCACACTCCGTTGAAACCCCCTCAAAGGATCTTCTCCTTCTCTAAAACTCCACCCTTTCCTCTCTTCCTTTCAAACTCTCTCTTCAAGTTTCCTCCAAAAAAATCAAGCCTCAATGGATTCCAAAGAAACTTACTAAGTTCCTTGACAAAGCTTAAATAGAAGAGCACCAAACGAGCTCATTAATTGCAACTTACTGACATTATCATCTGGGATGATATAAATATCATCTTATACGATCAGTGGAAAATAAGCTCAATCAGCCAGGATGATTTGGGACAATCAGAAGAAATTTTTTCATATCATCCAGGATGATAATATATCATCCTGGCCAATGAGTTATAAATCATACAATATCATCCTGAACATCGCTCTGAAAAAAGAGCTGCCCGATGTCCAATTGTCCAGTATATCGTCCTGGCCGATCCTAAAATCTTCTTGGTGATTTGATCGTGCAATCAAGTCTTAATTGCTTTTCTTAAATACCAAATTAATTTAGGCAAAATTGTGCTGGATCATCCTGGATGATGCCCTGGACGATGTCCAAAAATAACTAATATCTAAATAGATTTGGAAGTTTATTCTTTCTGTTTTGATCCTATCATCCCGAATGATACAAAATCATCCAAGATGATGTAAAATAAAGATGGTTGCTTTAACTTGGGATGCCCTAATTAGGGTTTCTATTTTTGAACCGATCGTCCCGAATGATGTTACAAAAATAGTAAACTCTAAGAAATAGTCAGAAATCTCCCTAAGTGTGTGTGTGCAAGGTTGTTTAGCACATGAACCACTCTGTTTATAAAGGACCAAGAAAGAAAAAATTACAAACTAACTAAGACTTAATCTACCTAATCTTGAGCTGGCTTGAGTTGCACTCGATCTTGTGCACCTGAAAAGTTAGTAGGCAAAGCAGTAGTAAAGAATCATAAGTGTGTGCTATCATCAAAATCTAATCCATAAAATTAGATCTGCAACAGATCAGATACTTTGCTTAAAGTGGTAGCCAAAGTTTCTAATACACATATTAATCCAATAACATTTATAATAATTGATTCAAAAATAATGAATCGTGGATGTAATTTTTGATTAGATTAAGATAATTAATAAAGTTAATAAAAATTTTGTTTTATTTATATCAACATAATCATATAATATATGCCTTATGTAGAGTATTTGTATCTCATGATCATGGAGATAATACTTTATTATGATAAATATCACTTGGCCTAAAAGATTTATAATAAGATATCATGATATATGTTTTGTATATCTAATATACTTTTCGAGAGAGTGGAAAGTCGCCGGGAATTTCACGCTATGCTATTAAGTAAAATTTTTACTATTAGATGGAGAAAAATATTTTATCTATTTTTATGTACATCTTCATTACTCATGTGTGATATGTATATTAGAAATCTATGCAAGAAAATGTTCACAAATCATAAATTGACATGCAATGCAGCAAAGTAAAATACTGGAGGAGCTATAGAAAATGGGTGGTAGTTTATTGGAAAGCATCCAACAACGATGAAGGTAAATGATGATATAGATTTTTACTAGGCTAGATGTTTTTGCAAATTTTATGATGAATTTGTATTATATAAGGAATGGACATTTATTATAGAAGTTTTTGAACATTTGTTTTTAATTGAATGTGTAGTTACTTTGGAATTAATATTCTTGTGCAATGTTGAAATGTGATTATAGAAATGATGAAATGAATTATTTTTATTGACTATTATTGTAAGAATGTTATGTTGTACAATATTTGAGGCAAGGTGAATTTTTTTTTCTATGGTGCAGGTTTTTGATGTATTTTAGGCTAGAAAACCATAAAAAATGATGATATAAAGAGTTTGGTGATCTATATCTGGCAATCATTATCCGCCAATATTACCGGCAGAATTCCCAAAGAAGCTTTTTCCATAACTTTTGGCAACAGGCGTCGTCCAAATTTTAGGTGATTGCTCATTGAATAATTTAATGGATATTACTAGTGAAATTATGATGGATAATTCTATCACCAATTTAATAGAAAAAATTTCTCAAAATTACCAGTAGAATATTCATAGGTAATTTGGAATAAAATGCTGCATTTTTCCTTATCAAAATTTGATAGAATTACCATGGTTATGTAAACAATCTGCTGGTACATCGTCAAAAACTTTTCTTGCAAACGTTTCCATATTAGGCCACTTTCCAATGTGCATTTCACTGGAAAAAAGAAATCTGCGG